TAATCAAGAAAATACTGATTACTCAAATGATACTGATTTGTCTTTAGTTCATCGATTTTGTAGCCAAACAACATGTGTATGGAATTTCAAAAATTTTAAGCAAGTTTTTTGAAAACTTCACATAATTGGTTTTGAACTTCAAGAGATTTAGCTTGCTGTTTCAAATCTGGGAAATTCAAACGAAATGGAAATAGTAAAATGGCAAGAAAAATACAAAAACAATGTAGGAAAATTTGAAATACAGCAAACAAACCGGAGAATGCAAGAACAGCATCATTTTTAAATTGAACCATTTTTTCTTCGTAATCATTTATCAGATTCTTCAACGCCTCGAATCTGCTTGAATTGACTGTTGATATCAAGGTGTACCGTCATATCTTTCTGACAAGAATCACCCATTTTCATACTTCATTCCTAGAGCAAAAATAATAAATTAACTACGAGTATCTTGGATCAGAAAGAAACAATTTCATTTAAATCTTTTTCGTTTTACTGATGATCATCAATTTCCCCGTTCAACCATACAAAATTACAAAATTGAAAAAAAATGTATATTATTCTATATAGTCGGAGATTAGAATAGTGAAATCCTAAAATGAAATTTAGAATACTTACGGAAATTGGGAGGCAGAAATGATTTTTCTCTCTGTATTCAATGCATCGAACCAATTGCTTCTCATCAGCACCAGAAAACGAAAAAACTGATACAATTTCTTGAATTTTAAAACTGTAATAGCAACTCATACTCGTATACTCAGCTGCACAACACTTGTTACCCATTTTTATTAAATTTCTACACTTTTTAATTGATTTAAAAGGAAAAATAATTCTTCTCCAATACCGTTTCAATTTAAATTACGTTTCTTATCAATTTTGTCAGCCTCATGTTGGTGACGTCACAACGTTTTTGCAAGCCAGTTGTCAGGCCTTCTACTATAGGTGGTGTTGGTAGAATCCACCCATTTTAGTGGCACAGTCACGCTCTCTACTGGTCGGTTGAGCGGCGAATGGTCTTTGCGTTCCTCTCTCATCTCGATGACTTGATTTCATCAGTCATCAATCATTCGTGATTCCCGTCTTGCAAAAATTTCTGAATCTTTCTGATGTTTTAATTTGTTTTACAAGTTCATAATTACTTTCTAAGTGTCATGTAAAATAAAAATGAATTCGGCAGTAATTAGTTTTCGTCAACTATTCCACTCCGTGATTCGAATTCGAATGCTGTTCATTCGACTTAGCTGAACTGGAATTCCTGTGAGTCAGACTGATGTCTTCAATCATGTTTTTCATTTCACTTACCAGTAGCCTTTTATTAGAGGAGAATATTTTCAAATTGTATTAAAGCAACATTCTGCTGAATTGTTCAAGGCTCTAACGCACGTAAATAAATTCAAACTTGTCAAGTTTCCTCCGTTTATCTGTAGTTGTAATCTGTACCGGTACCCATTTCTGATCATGAAAATTCTCTGTCTTGTGTTTCTTCCAGGTTGAGTTCCATTCGCTACAAATCAGATTGAAAAATTGAAGATTGTTTCATTTCGTGGAAAGATTTTGCATAGGTAAAGCGCCTGTGATTGATTGATCGTTCTAACATACATTCTCTCTTTTCATAGCTTCAGATCTTGCGTCCTTCGTGATTATTGCATGTATTATGTTCTAATTATTTGAACTGCGTGACCGTCGCTGAGTTGAACTATTTCTTCGGAAAGACTTTCACGAAATGTGGTGTCTAGAAATCTCAAATGGTCAGAAATTAGAGGTATCTATTCATTGGTCTTGTAGGGTTTTTATTTTCTTTGATCTTTTTCTTGAATGTTAACTTGACTTAAAACCAATTTTCTGGCTCACCAAAGTTTTAGCACGTTCATTTCTACGTCATCTACTTTTCTGTTCCTGATTAGAGTACATAATTCTGATCTAATTTGTTGAACCACGCCAAGGACTCTCGTATTTCTAGAGGTTAGTGGTTGGGTACTATTTCATGTTTAATCGCACGACTTTCTCATAAATTTGTTTTATAATTTCTATTTCTTTTTGATCCAGGTCTGAAATATCCTCTAATCATTTTCGTCAATGCAACTGCAACATAAAATGGCTACGAATCGCACGCATCAGCAGCAGAGAGGCGGAATGAATCCATACGGGGTGATGTATCCGCAACAGCATCACATGCAAGTAAGGAGTAATTGAATAGCTTTCGAGATTTATTTTATTATTCCATCTGGAAGTATTCATCAATAGCTTCGGAACTATCAGGAGTTGTTGCATTCCTCATAAGACCAGCTGGTGTCATATGTGACACTATATGGTTTCTGGAACTATGTAGTGTAATTTTATGTGTTTCTTCACAAAACAACGTTCTTACTGCAAACCAAGTAAAGCCAGTAAGATCTATTAAGAACCTTGACATGAATTCCCTCATTAGTGGCATGGTGAAGTAATCACTTTATGATAATTTGTACCCAAAAATGACTTTTTAGGTAAGCATTGAAAATAGTGTCATTTTCGAGGAGTATCACACAAATTTTTTCCTTGTTATTTATGGCCGTTTATGGCACCACCTGGTCTTTCGTGGCATATCGCACAGATTTTTCCCGTGGTGTATGTATGACTCCACCTGGTTCTCTTAGTGTTGAACTCTTGGAATATGCGTCAAAACTCTTAACTATCAAACGTATTATTCGCATTCCGATGATATGAATGATTTTTTTTTTCATAAGTTTTGTGTTTATTTTAAGTTTTGAACATTCGTGTGTTTCAGCCTCAATCTATGCGTTCCAATATGATTCCAAACAATATGTCATATCCCCAGTCCATGGGCGCTCCTTTAAGTTCTAATTATGGTCCGACTGGTATGTACAATGCTCCTTCCGCAGCCCCTCACATTCAGCCTGCTCCTGCTAGAGTTTGCAATGTAAGCAACGAAGCTCAGATTGTGTCGAATTATCCCACGACGTCTGCGAACATCGTTTTCAGAAAATTACCTTTTTTCAAGCTAAAACATCAAATTCTCAAGCCGACTGTATTAGGTCAGTTCATTCGAGGTTATCCTTTATTTTTTATCGAGAAAATCTTAATTCAAGTTCTATCGTTTCAGCTGGTAATACCGGATTGACGTTGCCGCCAAATGTGCGAACCTCCGCATCTCACGAATTTAATGTTTCATTCGTTTTGACTTGTGATATGGCTTCAGATTTAGCCATGTTTCGTGACGTGACCAAAAATGAATACATCATGCAGGTAATGTCCGATTTCAAGCTAATCACCTGCTCTATGAAGACAGAAGTGTGATTATTTTATATTTTAGGCTCAGCTTCGAATTACTGCGACGGAAACTAACCCTACCACTCCTGTAACCGAATACGATGATTTTCTGCCTTATGGCCTCATGATACGAGTTAATGGCCGACAGTGTAATACCTTACCGGTAAAATCTTGTTCAAATCATAAAGCTGTACTTTATAAATTCACTATTTAAATGCAAATTGTAAATTTTTTAGCCTTGTACTCCCAGCACCAGACAAGGTCAAGAATCTAGACGAGTACCTCGACCTATAAGCATTACTCAGCTTGTGAAAATGTCGCCGATGAATGTGAATAATATAATCATTAATTGGGCCCATGAAACGGGTAAAAATTTCATCGTAACATTGAATATAGTGGAGAAATTGTCAGCTGATTTCCTCTTAACCAAACTCAGGGAAAGACAAACTATATCTATTGACCACACAAAACTCGTGAGTAAGTATTATGAACCTGTGTTTTTTTGCTGTACTTTGTCATGGTTGAAAAATTCGATCTCGAATTTCCCAAACTTCTCTTTCTTGAGTAAGGATACCGAATTTCTAGTTATCTCTGCTCCTTACTGGTAATGCGTGTTTCACTTTTAGTTTTCTC